CCCCCCCCCAGCCCTATATAAAATGGCCTCTGTTTCTGAGCTAGCCGCCTCTCTGAGCTACTTGGCTTGGGGAGTGCCGTCTGGCCAGACTAATAAAGGTCTATTTGCCAACTTGCCTGGTGTGTTCCTTCCTGGGGGACTCTCGCTGTGCGACAAGCTCCCGGAGCCTCGCTGAGCTTCTGAGCCCAACATCGTGGAAGCCTCTTGGCTGTTCACGCTCCAGGAGTAAAAGTGAGACTTAAGTCTTACACTTCCAGTGACTCCCTGTCCTGTCACGTGGTTCCTGATCTGCAAGGTCCCGGGGAGGTCAAGATCTGCCCTCCTGCCCTGCTCCAGGTGTGCTGAGGGTGTGGGGTGGGTGCAGCAGGCCAGAGGCGAGGCCATGCTGGCTGGTACAACTCCACAGTGGCTGCTGATGGCTCCAGATGTTCTCAGCCTTCCCAGCTGCTCTAGGCCAGCCCTGGGGACTCCGTGTGTCTCAGGGGCCATCGAAAGACGATGTCTGTCTCCTCCAGAGCTTCCTACCCACCTACCTCTCACCCTCCTGTCTCTCCTCACAATGCAGCTCTTGTGCTTATGTCCCCTTGCCCATCATCCCGTAGGGATCATCACGATCATGGATCGTGTTCTAGTTCATTCACTCTGTTGGCAACACACATGAGCTGGGAACTAACTGTTTCAGACACACAGTAAGCACTTACGAAGCTTGACAAGTTGACTGCACTCAAAAGCTCTAATGAATAATCTGCAATAATACATAAGATCCTAATAAGATTACTGACATTTAGAAATGGGAAGAAAGGAGCTAAAGGTGTAGGGAAGGTGGGATGGGTAGGGGAAGGGCAATAAGGGAACAGAAAACAATGTGAGATAATGAAAAGATGAAAATAAAGTGTTTGCAGATGGGGAGGGGAGGAGGGGGTGAAGGGAGGGCAGGGGTAAGGGGAAAAAATGAGAATCAAGACTTGTCATGTAGAGGTACAAGATCCCAACAATGAATGTAACTGTACTGTATCCCTAAAATGAACCAATAAACTCAATTAAAGCTGAAAAAAAAAAAGCTCTAATGCAGGAACAAAAGAATTCTTACGCCCTACAGACATTGTTATTCAGTGAGCTAAGACACGTCAAGAATTTAAATCCAGTGCAATGGATTTAGCTCAGTGGTTCGGCTGCCTGCCTCACAAGTGAAAGGACCCAAGTTCGATCCCCAGTACAAAAAGAAAAAGAAAAAATTTAAAACCATATGTGGTACTACTTAAAAGCTATTATTAGTTCTATGAGTAGTTTTTGCTATTAGCTGTTATCACTACTAAGCACCTCTGGCAGCGTGAATAAGACACAGTCTATGTCTCCAGGGAAAAAGGGTGGGGGGTATTGGAGGTATTTATGATGTTGGCTAATACATAATGGAGGGTAGCAACCCCTAACCACCCAGCACGGCAGAGGGAGAGTATCAGAAAGCCCTCCCAGAGGAAATGCTCAAGCAGGGATACTGGAGACACCAGCATATGGGAGAAGAGTCTCCAGGAGGGGTTTGGCCTGCTTGGACTCTAGGCCCAGAGGGAAAGACCCTCAAGGGCTTTGAGGATGATGCTAAGTAGTCTGGCCTTGAGCCACTGTCAGATCTTAAGAGAAACTTGGTGGACATGGCACTTCAGAAAAATCTCTGGTGAGAAATTTGGAGAAAAGTGGGGTGAGAAACTAGTTCAGTGCTATTGTCCAGGCAAGTGGAACTTCAGGAAAGGCAGGGCCAAAGCTGGGTGTGGTGGCACATGCCTGTAAACCCAGCACTTGGGAGGCTGAGGCAGGAGGATCACCTGTAAACCCAGCACTTGGGAGGCTGAGGCAGGAGGATCACTGCGAGTTTCAGACCAGCCTGGGCTGCATAGTAAGTTTCAGGTCAGTCTCAACAGCATAGTGAGACCGTCTCAAAAAATCAATAAAAGAAAAAGAAAAAAGAAAGTCAGGGCCAAGGGACACAGAGAGAAAGGGCCATGTTAAGAGGTAATCTGGATTGATGGGCTAAGGGGAGGTAAGAGAGCTAGGGAAACATGAGGCGTACTCAGATTTTGCTGGAGTGAGTGGGTGGACAGTCCTCACATACCAAGACCAGAAGTGCTGGGAGAAAGGGGGTGTTTTGGACAATTTTTTTTCTGTTTCTTTTTTTTTTTTTGTACCAGGGATTGAACTTGGGGCCTTGTGCTTGCCAGGCAGACATTGGCGCCACTGAGCTAAATCTCAGGCCCATGAAAAGAGGTGTTTTGAGAGGATAAGGAGGAGGAGGAGGAGGAGGAGAAGAGGAGTTCCACTTTGGGATGTTGGGTGGGAAACATCTGAGCCTGTCCTGGTGGAAAGGTCTAGCATGTCCCGCAGTTCACAGTTCTGAGGTCACCATGCCGCAAGGGAGTAAGTGAAGTGAGAGTAGAGGAGCCCCCAGAAAGAAGCAGTGGGAAGAAACAGGGCAGGGAAGGGGGAGCCTGGGAAGCGGGGTGTGGAGAAGAGAGTAAGTGAGGAGAGAGAGACCCCATCTCAGAGAGCGTGGTCAGCACACACGGGGCTGCAGGAAGCTGCCAAAAACAGAGCAGGGCAGAGTGCCCAGGGCCTGGCCATCGGAGAGGATGAGGCAGCCTGGGGACAGAGGCTGACTGCAGAGGTCAAGGGGGAGTGGGAGGCAAAACAATGCACCTTGACACGTTGGCCAAGAGGTAAAGTTCAGAGAAAGGGCAGAGGCCGCAGGGGAACAGGCTGAGGGAGACTGGGGTTGGAGATGGGTGTAAGGCAAGGAGAAGCACCCGACTTCTGGAGGGGTGTGGATTTGCGCTTCCCCTCGCTTCTCTTTGCTCCTCCTTGCTCTCCCCCTCAGAAGGTACTGGGAGGCTCACCTCAGTGTCCTCTTGCCATCCCATCAGCTGTGGCATCCTCCCTGACTCCCAGAGGAGTTGATTCGGTCCCATCATTAACATCCCGAGCTCTCCAAACACCAGCAAGCTGTGAGATACCCGGGTAGGCCACCTGGAGATTCTCCCATCTCAAACCTGCCAGTTTTTACAGATGCAACAACTGTCAACTGTGGCTGTCCTGACATCCCACAGCCACTCCAGAAGATGTCTGCCCTGATAGCAATAGGCTCAAATTTAAACTAAGCAGTAGCTTTGAATGTGGACCAATCACTAGGCTTGGATCTGAAGAAGGCTTGAATTTAGACTAGTTTGAGCCTATCAGCAGGCTCAAATTTGGACCAATCACAGGCCTGCTACCTATATAAGCAATACTCTGCCCTTGTTGGAGGGCAACCTCTGGTGTACTAACCCGTTTGGGGTGCAGTACAGGTCCTGTTCCAATAAAGCCTCCTTCTGGTGCTTGTTATTTCTTGGCTAGTGTGAGTTTAGAAGGTCCTGTAAATGTGTCCTGAGTCGTGTAGACAGAGTGTTTACTTTAAAAGAAGAGCTGTAAACACTAGGGGCTGTTAGCCTGGAAGAGCTCCAGCGACCAGCACACTGGCAGAGTTGACTGACAGAATCTGGCCCTAACTGACCTCACCTGGTGTCATTAGGAGACAGTGGAGCCGCACTTTGCTGACCCATGATTTCTGTCTGAAGTTAGGGTCAGAATCATCAACTGATTGGCAACAGGTGCAGGTGTTAAAACAGTGAATCGTGTCTGTGTCCCTGTACACTGTTGGAGCTACCTGGAGCTGAGCATGGTGGTGCACACCTGTAATCCCAGCGCACTCAGAGACTGAGGCAGGACTGCAAGCTTGAGACTAGCCTAGGAAGCATCCCAACTTAGAGCAGGTGGTGTCCCATCCCCACCTCCCCCTCTGTTCTCCTGTCTGTGCTTTTCTCCCCGTGCATTCACTTTAAGGGCTCATGTGCTCTCAGTAGGATCAAGGTCCTCGCTCCAGACGGCCCATCTTTCACCTATTTCTGAGACTCCTATTCAAATCTTCCTAGTGCTTCTCCCTGTACTGCTTTTACTTGAGATTCCCCTTGGACTTGGATGCTCTCACCCAAAACAGTGCCACTAGCAAAATAAATACAGTGAAGTCATATCCAGGATGATCAAGGTAGTTTTGCCTGCATTTCCTGTCCAGAAAGTGACTCTTTGGGATAAAAGAGAGGGTTTGCAGAGGCTCGCTTGGTTGTGAGCTGTAGTCCCGGAACCCCGATACTGTTCTGCAGCAGTGCAGCCCCTCCATCGCCGGAGGTCTCCATCAGCTCACCTCACCCTACTGCTCCCCTGCCCAAGAGTGTTAAAGGTCACATGGCACGAGGCTCCGAAGGTTCCTCATCGCCTCTGCAAGGAGGTTCCTTCTCCTCCTCTCAGCTGAGCAACACCACCAAGAAAAACCAGAGGGCAAGTGAGAAAACCAGTTGTGATCTGCCCAGTAAACAGGTGGCAGCGCAGAGCCAGGCCCCGCCTTCAGTGTCTCCTAGATCTTGGCATGGAAGAGAAAGCAGACACTCTGGAACCGGCTTCCTGAAGCTCCAGTCCAGCCAGCTGTTCTGTGGGGAGCAGCCCTGGAGGCTGGAGCAGCCACCATGGCCCAAGGTAGGGAAAGCCCATGGTGCCGCTGGTATTCAGGGACTCGTAGAGAAAGCCCTGGGAACCAGGGGGAGGGGTGTGGGTTCAGATGGAGAAAGGAGTAAACAGAACTGGACCAGGAAAGTAGAAACCCCCGGAATCCTCAGAAATCATTAGAGACCCAAGAACCAGGAGATAAGGCACACACTGCTTTCACGGGGGG